CGATTCCATTTTTGTTTTTAATCAACACCCTCTAGCAGAAACCTTCCCAGACAGAACCCCCACCCCCAAAGCCCCCCCAGCCACAACAGTGTGAATTCCTCAGGGAAGTGCCAGTCTCATCCTCTTGTGCCTCCCACGCTCTTCTGGCGAGCTAAGAAAATGTTTATCTCCCTGAGTTTGGCCTTCATAGTTCCATTCCATCACATCCTCACACTACGCCATAGGGATAATTTTTTGGTAGGATCGCAGTGATTACATTTTTCTTGATTTCTAGGTGTTCCTTTCCCAAAGAATTTCATGTCAGTAGCTAAGACCATCTTAAAGCGTCTCTTCAGAGTTTATGCTCACATATATCACCAGCACTTTGATCCTGTTATCCAACTTCAAGAAGAAGCACATCTCAACACATCCTTCAAGCACTTTATCTTTTTTGTTCAGGTAAATAAACACAGCGATTGCTGTGTTTTAATTTTGTATGTGCAAAATGGTTCTTTGAGCTTTTTGGCGTTTTAAGGGGAAATATTTATTTGTCTTGGAATTTTCAGTCATTTAGAAACTATTTACTATGATCTTGACTTTGCTGCTGTGCCGCGCTTGCATTACTTTCATTAATTAAATTCTGTGCCACAGAATTGGACGCCTCTAAAAAAATGCAGATCTAAAATATGTACATAAATAAAAATAATGAAAGCATTACGGAAAGCCAGCAATAATAACTGCTGCTGCAATTTCAGCGTTATTTCATCAACCATGGGATGAGCATGAATTTGCAGTTTCATAGTAGAGGTTGAAGTGTTTAGGATTTGACATGTGGAAACATCATCTACCTTGTGGATACAAAATGTTTTTGTTAGTATAATTTCAAACTGAGAGCGTACCTAAATACCAGATGCTGTGCATATTGTAAAACATAATGTAATATAATGCTGCAGTGTCTCTACCAGGGTTGATAGTTTACAATTGCAGATTTCTTGTTTTTAGAGGTAGTGTGGATTTGATTTAAATCATTAGTTAGGAAACTCATTTTAATTATTAAAATTATAATTTATTCCTTCACAAGGAACATTCTATAGTATGTAATACCATTGTTTAACGTTTTTGGCTTTCCTTTCACCAGTTCTTTTTTTCTTGGATACTGATATTTATAACATGCATTTTAATTCCGTTGTATGATATATCACTACTGTTCCCATCCAGATCTCTGAAATACTAGAATGTGACACATTTTTTTCTCAAAATTCATCAACAGTTTTTCTGTGATTACCATTCACTGGAGTGTAACATGCAACTATCACCAACTTATGGATTCCTACTTTCATGTACAATGACAACCACCTAAATTACATCAATTCATATTTTCTAACATACATTTTAGCTCTTTCATTTATAATTAAACCTATGCCTTGACTTTTCTGCATATAAACCACTCCTCAAGATCACACCACCCCCATTCAGAGTTATTACATCCTTCCCTTTTCTTTTCCTTTCACAGACACATAGCATATCCATTTTTTTTCATTTGTAAATTCATACTTTTTATCATTCATACCTCTTATATTTCAAAACGCAGTCATCTACATGCCATGGTTGTCACCAGAATGGGCCCATGGACACTGACCTCTGCTGCCCATTCTGCTTTGGATAATTGAGTCTTTTACTTAACTCTGTTCAGTAACACAGAGTAAGTGTAGACTACGTTACCAATACCCATGCAACATTCCCTTTATCTCAACCATGTTTATGTTGTTCTATTCAAGCTAGGATCTCTAATCTAGAGAATAACTTGCAAACTAGCGTTGTTGTTCACATCTTGTCACCTCAGAAGTACATGCAGGGTAGTGAAACACAATCTCTTTCTATTCACTGATTTTTATCTGCTCTAGTTAGAACAGTATAGAAACTGTGCACCTATGCATCAGAGGTTTAGAGACATCGTGGCATTTTAGCTAGGGAACTCAGGTATCCACAAGGGGCAATTTGTGGCTATCTGTGCATGCCACAAGAGGTGGGAAAATTACATTCCTGAGCAGCAGCAGTTCCTGTGAAAAGTTCAGTTTTTACCATCCTAGGTGGCCTATCTTTTGTCTAATAACTTTTTCTCCCTATCATAATCTCCCTATAAAATGATTTTGCTTTTAGTTACTTAATAACTTTCATTAAGTATCTGATTGAGATGTTGATTTTATCTCCACCTTCCACAGGAATTTAACCTTATAGACAGAAGAGAACTTGCTCCACTTCAAGAACTGATTGAAAAACTCACTTCAAAGGACAGATAAGCGAAAATGAAATTGTGGAAATCACTTGTTTCTTTAAACAGGCATGTGGGGTTTTAGGGATTTGGGCTGAAATTCTCTACACACTAAGTTCCATGGAACTTAACGCCTGAGTATGTGTGTGGAGGTTTGCAACCTTTTGTTTGTTTGTTTTAGAGAGAAAAGGAAACTTCTGTTTTAATTCAGGCAACCTAGATCCATTCTCTGTGCTTTTATTAGTGAAACTTCTTTCACTTAGTGAGATACACACAGTAAATGGTTTTCTGTTATTGTTCATTGTTATTGTTCATTTTTAGCAGATGTGTGTTAATAAAGGAAAAATAACATGCTTGTTGGGAAATGTGACACTGCTAGTTGGAAGGGTTCAGCATTGCCAGTTGTATACCATTCTCAGAAGGTCCTTAAAGAGACTTAATCTTCTCTAAGTGCCTTGGTAGATTCTCTTCTGAGGTACAAAGCACATACAAAGAACATTGCTGGAAACAGAAAACACAAATAGCTACCCAGGACATTTATTAATACTTGTTATATATAATAAATATGTGTAAACCTTTTCTAAAAGCCATAACTTCTGTCAGTGATCTCCAGTCTTTAAGAGAAAGCAATGACTTTAGAAATGAACATGGGTTGGGGAAGGAGAAGTGAGTGAGCGGCTCATTTTATTTTTTTTAATATCGTACTGAGCTACCCATCTACGTCTTCAGTACTATGAGGGCCAAGAATGGTATTGGGTAGACCACTTTTCACAATGTATGTTCTGCCAAGATTTTAACTCATTTTGATCTACCAGTGGGATTATTTTCTTGATCATTACTTTATCAAACTGTACTATCAAGTTTCTTGCCCTTTAAGAAGAGTCCTGCAATGGCATCAAGTCAAAATAAAAGGGGAAGTAGTTCAAGGAACAATAATATTAATAAGGAATGTTCACTATTTATATATGCACCATTGTTATTTTAAAAATGGGGCTAAAACAACCCTAGTCTCTCAGCTTTTAATAAGAGAAATTGTCTCAATCTACTTACCATAGTCTATACTTACCATTTCATGCATCCTAAATCTGCAGCCCCTTTGTAATCTCACTTGTACAAGAATGCTCTAAGTGAAAGCATTGATTTCTTGTAACATGATACAAAATGCAGTTGTATTTTGGAATTTTTAGTGTGTGGGCATTTAAGATGACTTAATGGTACACATACAAATTTTGATACAATTTTGCAGTGTTGCTTTATTTATTTTCCTCTCTCTTCACATGAAGAAAAGAGCCAATATCACAGACCCAGGCAGCTATGGGATTAGTACTGTAGTTTTTATAAATATTTCATCATAGAATATTTAGAATTTGGGATCATTCCTTCTGAGGAATTCAAAAATGAAAAGCCCATTTCTGATTTCATGACTTAGGATCATCACCTTTTGTTCTAAATTGCAGGGCCGCTGAAACTTACCAATTCTCTGAGTATAGTATTAAATTCAAAATCTCCCAATTTTTATTTTCTGGAATGTTACAGGTTTTATCTGCTTCACAGTTTCCATGGATTGAGTAAAATACACAAATTGCTCTATGTATCCTTAAACCCTGACTTTGAAGACCACTTCTCACATTATCACTGGAGCTGGCTACAAATTGCACATGTATGTGCTGTGTGTCCATTAAACCAATAATATTTAAAGGCCGTGAATGATATCTTAAAGTCTAATGTACGCAACAGTTTCTCATAGTATGTTTTTATGACATCTTTGATATTTTATATATACCTTTCTGGTGCTTTTAAGTGCTGAAGTGATAAAAGGCATACAATATACTCTTTACCAGAGAAGTAGTGTTGACAGTTAGTGATATGAGGAAAAACAAAACAGATTACTGTGATTACATTATCTAGCTGTTCTTAATTCATCCTCTTCACTCTTATAATCTGGTAGCCCTTAATAATGATAGTTCTCCCTATTGATCTAGTAGAAAATGAATAATCAAAATCTTGGCAGTGTTTCATAATCAGAATAGTCAGTATTAGATTTTAGAAGTCAGATCCACAGTCCTGATTTCTGAATCTTGAATTTGAAAGTTTAAATTGCTAATCAAAAACATTTTTGTTCAAAGTTGAGATGTCAACAGCAGTTTATAGATTGGGACTGTTAACATTTTAAATGTCCCCAATCTCCATCTAGTAATTTTAACCACTCCTAAAAAATGTCTGTTAAAAATAAGAAAAACGTCAGGTATCCTCTAAACATATGACTGGGTCTTGAAATGTGTAAGTATCCAGAATAATGTTTAATTGGAATCAATTTAGCTTGGACATAATTTTCTCTCATAATTTTAGTCTTAAAATTTCAGGGACTCATTGGAAACAATACTGACAAATTTGGGTTCCATTCATTGCTAACTTCCTTCTTGGATGATAAAAACTTGGAGATCATTGACTAAGTGCTGTGGGTTCAACTCTTCTTATTGCATTGAAGACTGAAGCATTGACAATATTAAGGGAGTGGTTATTCTGAATTTGTACAGCACTGGAAGCTTTTAGTGGGGTTGTTTTGGTAGTCTGAACAATTATTTACTGTTTAAGAGTGTGTTACAATACAAATACAAAAGCTTCCTTGATCTTTTAATTGAATACAGATTTTGAAAATTGAACACTGTAGTAGTATTAAAAAAAAGTCACAGCCTGGAATCTAGCCTTTTCTTTTAAAAGAACACTGTGTTAGAAAATATATGCTTTTTGATACTAAACATTGGGTAGAAACTTACTTTTTCATCATGACCAGCCATTAACAAAAACTGCATTCCTTCCACAAAGAAGGAATAGCCTTAAAATGTCAGAAGGTTGAACTGGTTTCATTCTCTGTTTCACCTGCCAGTGTGTTTCTTTGTCTTGATTACCCACCTGAATAGGTAATGTACTTTAATTAGACAAGGCTGACCAAGATGTATGGTCATAAGCATAGACCCAAGTCTGTTAAAACCAGCTGTGTTGTGTTTTCTTGAGCCAGTGGTTGATTTAATCCAGAGAATTGACATTGCTAGGATAAAATTTTATCATCCTGGTCCTAGAAATTATGTATCTACTTTGCACATCCATGTCAGGGATTCATACTAATTGTGCAAGTATAAAAATATGCTACATTTTGCTTAGTAGTAGTAGGTGGGCTTTAAAGAGATAACTGTCAAAAGGACAAATTCCCCCTTTTCAACTGCATGCCAACTTTTCTTTAACTGCTTACTATGCAAGAGAGAACTTTGAATATTCACTGGTAATCTTACAGAACCAAACAGGCTCTATTAACAATTTGAAATTGACACCAATCTCTCAAACTTGTTTCATAGGCAAAAGGCCAATGCTGCTATTAACTGGTCTTATTTTAAATTTTTTTATTCCCATTACTAAAAGCCTTTTCTTAGATTTCCATATAAATATTATTTTTTGAGGGGAAAAAGTGTGTGTGGGTGTGTATGTGTGTGTTGATTTACCTGGAAAATAATTTAAGACATTTATTCTTTTCCCCAAATATTAAAGTGCAAGTTAAATGCCAGAATTCCTATTTTAAAACTGTAATATGAAGTTGGACCTGCCAGTTTTTCAACTGCAGTGCTCTCATATTACTTAATACATATTGTGGGGGTGGGGGAGATGAATTACACTTCTTAACAGGCAAGAACTATTTGGGTTTTCCTGAACTGCATTTCTAGAACCGCTAGCCACTTTAGAGGTATATTTACATTTATGTCTATTGCACACATGGGTTTCCTTTTTAAAACATAATTCTCTCCTGCAGTAGCAGACTAACTCCAATTTTAAAATGCTTTTGTATGCTTATTTTCCTTCCCAAGAGCACTGTCCTTTCAATAGTTTTTCATAGATTAATGTATTTTTAGGGAAAATTAATTTTTATAGCCACTAAACTGTACTCATTATTTTTGTACACTTATTACTAGGTTATTTGGAACACAAATCTTTTGAAATGTCATTTGGTTCCATTTTTGAATTTACTCACTGATGTCGCGTTGCTAAATATTGTCATAAGAATCAATGCTTTTGGTATGTAGTGAGGGGAAAGAAAAGATTTGAGAAGATGTTACTTGCTAGTACTTCTGGTTCCTGCAGACAGATCCACCCAGGTCATTCTTCATGCAGCATATTAGAAAAGTATAGGAGCAATTATTTGGGCTCGCTTGGTGAAGGGTAGGGAACGAGACCAGAGAAACATGCTTCCAAATGGATCTGTTGTGGCAATTGCTTCCTGTCTGATTGAGAGAATCTACAACCAGCAGAATCAACCTTAAGCTTTTCTGAACTGAACAGCTCCAATTTATCATTCAGTAATAGTCAAAGATTGCATCTCAGCATGTCAAATTTGAATACATTTCTGGAGATGTGGAAAGTTTTTGGTTAACTTTCCGTGTCTCCAGCAAGAAAACCTAAATACATGTAAGTGTGTGGACAAAACCCTGTAGTTTTAGAAAAGCCTTGCCATTTGATTCTGCTGATTAAATTAAACAGATCCTGTGTGCCAGAATTTATGCTGCATCAGGGACAGAGCTTGATCTCTATCAGTGACTCCCTCTCTATTAAAGAAAAAATATGGTAGCTGCTTATCAGAGAGAAAAAGGTAGTAATAGCAGATGCTGGACATGAGAATCATTTAAAAATATAAAATGCAACATAACCTGTACTGTAAGCAAACTGTGCCAATATTACTTCAGTTTGTAGTCACTTAATCAGTACTTGTTCTACCTGAAAATGGCTTTTTAATTAAAAATAAAAAAGTTGGATGTCTGAAATTCTGCAACACATATATTGGAAAAGATGTAAATAATGTATACATATTGTTGTAAGTGATGGGATGAAAAACTATATAAATTCTAGGCTTTTTCAGTAAGGAAATGAATGCTGTTTATAAGAAAAAAAATAAATAGCTATGTTTGAACATGACTGCCTTTTTTCCCTTCTCATGCTTAAAATGTCTGATAGGTGAGATTCATATGCATCTGTACATTGTGCACATCTGATAATTCCTCACAGAAGGTATTCTGCAGTTACCTCACATGGGTTTGTTAACTGTTTGTACTCCAAGCAAATCAAATGGCAATAAAATGAACCCATATCCATCCAGTCCCTCAATTCAGGTTACCAAAAGACTGATAAAGCGTTTAGGTTTTCAGATAGAGGTAAGGCTACTCAAAAGTGTGTGTGGGGGGGTTGTTTTTGCCTAGTCACATACAGACCCATATTTGAGCCCCATTCATTTTGGGTAATGACTGGATTCTTTTTATCCAGTACTCACAGAACATGTCCGCTTTTGATTTGGAATCAGGTTTCAATAATATTTGGAATGAAAGTTTTAGAATTCCTTTATTAGATGATGATGATTCTTCCTCCAGCTACTTCTACCTGGATCAAACAGCCCCATTTTGTTCCATGCAGGGATCAGCACCTCCCAAGCATTCTGTTTTTTGGTTTGAGCCTGGACTACCCAACATCCAAGACATTTTACGGATTTCTAGTACGTTTGTATATGTGTTCTCATGCCTGGGAAGACGGATACTACAACTGAATGCATGATACAGTACCCCCATTGAAATTAAGGAAGCCTAAACCTTTCCTGAATCATCTACTAAGGGTCACATATATATCTGTTAATTATGTGCCATCGGGTTGGTGAATTTGAGAGAAGGAAGTATAGACGCACAATCCTTTTGGTAAAAAGAAGATCAGCTCATCACGTATTCCAGGAAAAGATATATTTGTGTCCTCCCACCGTTTTGGACAGCAAACTCCTTACTCCGACTATAGACTGCCTGGTAGGGGCTATGAGCATTGTAGTCCAAAGGAACATGGTTGCCTCATTTTGCTATATCTAGTACAGTGTTTTTCAACCTTGGCAACTTTAAGATGTGTGGAATTCAACTCCTAGAATTCCCCAGCCAGCCATTCTGGATTCTGGAGTAACTCAGCAGCTTTGATCCTGCAGATAACTTGCAAAATAAAAAGCAGCATTTGTCCCTTCCTGGCCCTTCCATAGCCACATCTCTTACATGAGGCCTAATTCTTGCACAGCCTGGTTGCTTAGTTCTTTAATTTGACAGTTGGTTTCTATGGACACCTTAGACTTTCACTATTGGCTTGGTATTTGTGGTGGGTGTGTTTTTCAATACATAGAAGCTTTGTGAGCAGAGTTGATTTGCATTTGTCTTTTCAGAGTAGGTGCAACATCTTATTTCCCAAATGAGGTGAGTTTTGTTCTCAAAAGTTTTCTCACCTTAAAGAGTTTTTGGTGAGGACATTAAATCCTTTCCATTGTTTGTATAGGAGGTGACAACCTAAGCTATGATATATAGAAAAAGCAAGGGAGATGCATTTATTTCAAGATAAATATGCATTTATTTCAATCTTCTTTAAGATTACTCAAAGTAGGAACCTGAAGAAAAACTGCAAATGGTGTGTGCAAATGACACATTTAACCACAAGCTAGCCAATCATTTTTAGCCCAGGTGCAAGTCCAGTCTGTGGGGTTAATTTATGATTTACTGCATCATGCAATTCCAGAAATGAAAATTGAATAAACCATGGTTAGGTTGACCATTGGTAAAGTGCTATCACTTACTGAGACACTGTAATATGAGATTAAAAAGAAGAAAAGGAAACATTACCAACTCAGGTTTGCCCCAGCACTATTCACGATACTTCTCTATACCTTTCAAACCTTGCACACTTATTTTTGCTCCCACCATGTATATCCACCAGTGGATAGATTGTGCTTTAAACTTCTCATCTCTTTCTTTCTGAGCATCTCATTAGCTCCATTCCAACCAAGGCTGTCTTGGTCTTCTCCTTCCTCTTGACATTTTTTTGGTACGTTTGTTTTGCTATTCAGTGCTCATTCATGTTCTCAGTGCCTTTCTTTCCTAATGATCACCCTGCATTTTTGTCTCTGAACCTCAACCATTCCTTGCTTTCTTTCTCTACACATTTTGCAGCTGTTTTCTTGGTTTTCCGCTGATTCCTCTTTCTGTACAAGTTGCGGTTTTCCAAATGCCTTGGCCAGGACCAGATGGACACCTAGACAATATTGCTGTTGGTCACACAGTCAGCCAGATGTTTAGACTGGATTTGGCATTTTTATCCACCTATCGAGTCCTTCCCAAGGACCTGGGATAGGCAGATGTTATTTGATGGTGTCAAAAGTATTGCAGGATGTAGGCTATTCCAAGTCAAGCTGTCTTTTGCAACTGACTGATGATGATTGTCAATGATTTGTTATTATTGTCAAATATCTCCTCCACTATCCCCTGTGGGTTCAGTCTGAGGCTTTAAGATAATGCTGTTTAGGAAGATAACGGAGATATCTGTGCCATATGCTGCATTCCCCACCAATAATGACCAGTTTGGGCAGATGATGATGATGATGGCCAGGAGGCAAGCACAACCCAAACCCAGTTTCTCTGCAATATTTTCATGCTGAGGGCAGCTAGGAGCTCTAACCTAGGGACTAGTTGCAAGCCAGCATCCCACTCCCTGGGACAGTGTTTTTCAACCTTGGCAACTTTAAGATATGTGGACTTCAGCTCAGGCAATGGTGGTTTATTGAAGCAAACTTGGTTAAACAAAGCATAGCTGAGAACAGTCTTTCTCAACCTTAGCAACTTTAAGATGTGTGGACTTCAACTCCCAGAATTCCCCAGTCAGCATGCACTGACATGCTCAGGCTGTCTGAATTGGTCCATGGATGTGATGGAAATAAACACATACACTATATGCAGTTTCTCCCATATTTCGCAGTGGGTGCAAAGCTACCTAGGCAGAATAATTATCTTTAAAAAGCACACACACAAAAACACCTCCCCGTTTTGCAGGGAATCAATTTTGTCCGGGGTGGAAAGGGTGTCTCTGGTTCCATGGCAACCTCATCATAACCGATCGATGCGCTCGCAGCTCGACTGCCTCTTTCCGGCTGCATCCGTTGTTCGGCGTGCGGCTAGCCTTCCCTTTCCCTTTTTCACTTGAAGCCGGCGTTGTCCGCCTAGCTACCTCGGCTCTTTACTGTACTTTTAGGCGGCCCTCTCGATGACGGCGTTCGCGTTTCAAGCTCACCTTTTCGGTCCCTCTCGGGCCCCTGTAGCGAAGCCAGAAGCGATTGGAGAGGTCGCATGACAACACCCGCTGGCTGGGGACGCGACAACGAGGCCAGTGGGAGGAGCCCTCGCGTGACGTCAGTGGGCGGTGCAGCCAACCCCGATCGATCCCGCGCCAAATTCAAACGCCGGCGGGGAGACAAAGTGACGTTGGGCAAAGTCGGCGGAGCGCGCTTTTTGGCTTTCCTGCGCTGCCGTTACTCTCCGGGGGAGCTCCGTTTAGTTACCGGCGCGCCGTTTCCATGGCAACCCCACCCAAGCGAAGCCGGAGCAGCGTGAAGAAGATCGCCATCGAGGGCAATATCGGTAAGCGGTGAAGGGAGGGGTTGCTTCGCAGTGGGTAGCCCGCTTAGTAGATAGCAGGAACGCTGTCAACGTAATATATCTTGATTTCGGTCAATCCTGGGTCTGCTTGACCCTTGCCATTGTAGGGGCAGCTCTTCCCCAGCCATAAATTAAAGTAGCAAGTTTATGGGTGTGTTTGTTCTTGCAGTGGTGCATTTTAAAGACTGGAGCGGTAATCCAGAGAGGTGGTCTGGATGAGGACAGAAACGTTCTAGCTGGATTTTGCTCTAAACTCATGTTTTTAGTTTGAAAGTTAATGGCAGTGAAACGAAGCACGGCATTAAAACCTAAATCGCTGTTTGTTGGTTTGCTTTTTTAAATTTATATGGCCGCCCATCTCACTACCGTGAGGGTGTGGGTGGCTACTGGGTGGCTTACAAAGTAAAAAATCCAGAAAACAATACAAGATCACCCAAAAAGTAATGGTAAAAATTGTTGAAAACAGTGAAATTATTGAAACATAATCAGCAGGAGAGCATCATTCATTTTCCTAAGAGTACAACCACAAGCTTGAATATGAATGTCAGGGCTTGGGATACATGTAGACCAGTGTTTCTCAACCTTGGCAACTTTAAGATATGTGGACTTCAACTCAGGCAATGGTGGTTTATTGAAGCAACCTTCGTTAAAGCATAGCTTAGAACAGTCTTTCTCAACCTTAGCAATTTTAAGATATGTGGACTTAAACTCCCAGAATTCCCCAACCAACTATTATTGGTTGGGGAATTC